TGTGTTCTAGCTCTGGACAAAGAATCGGCCGGTTGAGAAGGATATTAGCGAGAGTACGGCAGCGATCGGAAGAAATTAGCTATGGAAATCGATCTCAAGCTAGGGTTAGTTTGTGCGGCACGACTCTAGCTCTGGACGAACGAAACATTAGATCGATAGATTTTTCTTTTTGTGGGATGTGATAGCTAGGTTAGCCAAGTGTAATGAAACAAAATAAGTAATAAATTAGCTAAGTTAAAAATTTTTAAAGCACACACCTAGCGTCCCGGCCCATTAAGTGTCACTATTAGGCATGTGATGTTTTTTGTCAGAAATTAGTGACACTTTTATGTCATTGGTAGTGTTCTATCAGAAAAGTGTCACTACGAAAGTGTCACTGTAAGCCATTTTTTTACTAGTGACCACAAATATTCAAAACATAACTGTAACGAGATATAAACTTTTTAGAATTATGCCCTAAAATAAAGCCAACCCCATAATTAATTAATTACTACGGCATATTGTTATGTTAATTATACACAAAAATTAATTATCAAAAAAGGTTAAATAATACTCCCTCCGTCCCGAAGGAATGTTCCCGATTTTCTTTTTTGGATGTCCCGTTGGAAAGTTCTCATTTCCCTAAATGGAAAGTTATCCTACATCAAAACAGGATCAAACAGTGCAAAACAGTGTCAAACAGTGTCGAAACAGTGCCAAACAGTGTCGAAACAGTGTCAAAACAGTAAAATTTATCCCCTGGTAAGTTTATTTCCTTAATATGTGTGTAGGTCAAACCGGGAACATTCCAACGGAACGGAGGGAGTAACGGTTTATAGTTTTTAACTTAAAACTAGTATAGTACGTTATTGACTTGGTGAAGTTAGTGATTGTTAGCGAGACGCAGAGAGTACTACTCCCTCCATCCCCCAATTATGTTCCCGGTTTGACTTCACATGTATTAAAAATAAATTTGACTGTACTGTGGAGTCCACTGTTTTGCACTGTTCAAACACTGTTTGACACTGTTTGTCACTGCTTTGCATTATTTGACAATGTTTTGATGTAGATAATTTGCCAAATAAGGAAAGTAAGGAAGTTTGAACTTAATTTGGGGACGAAGGGAGTATTTAATTAAATTAATTAGCGTTGTCCCATTATTAATTAGTAGGTTATTGACTTCGTGAGTTATACGTATTACGAACGAATAATAGTTATATTACTCGGGCATATATACATGCTTAGCTAGGTTGATTAAGATTACATGATCATTCAAGGGAAATGCTATTAATTCGATTCTTAACCCTTTCTCCTTCTTTTTCTATTTCTTCTATATTCATTCGAATAAATGTTTATTATCATTGATTAAGATTTTAAACCTGCTTAAATTGACTCAGATTTAAGCAAGAAAAAAGGCCGACACAAAGAAAATTTTTGCAATTTGTTTTGCCCGAAATTTTTTACAATAAAAATTAAAACATTTTTTAAATTTGGGCTGGACCAGAGCCAAGGTCGACCTTCCCCTGGTTCCGCCCTATGTACATAGATTGATTAATAAATTACTCCTATTTTCGCATCTTTCAAAAATTAAAACATTTTTTAAATTTGGAGTAATTTATACGGCATGGTACAAATTTTGGACGCTCCTATTTTCGCGCTTTCAATTTTTGTTTTTTCACATTGGCTCTTCAGAATTTCATAGTTGGATAAGAGTCTTGAATAGATAAAATCGTTACTTCATTATCTCTAGAATATTTGTCAGATTAAATAATTAGTCTAAATGTCTAATTACCTCTAATCAATATATATATCAGAGGAAATTTTTAAAAGTATACAAAGTGTCATATAATCTTGTCATGTCATCCATCATATATAACAGTTATTTTTATACTTCATACCTTCTATTTTTATTGGAATCTATTTTTGATTGCATATTGATATAGAAACAACTGATTGTATGATAACTATCCACTTTATTTGGTAACTTTTTCAAAACCTATTACGTATTCGTATTTCATAATTATTAAATTTAGTAATTGGAATCACAACAATTAATATCCAACCGTACACATAAACTACATTTTATACGCATTACTTTTTATAAGCATGGAGTAACAATTATTTAATTATTTTTTTAGTTTTTAACTTTTATTACATTCTATTGAAGAAATGAAGTATCCGTGTTTTGCCCACTTAACAGATAAATCGGTTCCTTAAATAAATAGATAAATCAACCAAATTGCTATTAATTTTGTCTTCAAAAATATTTTTTAAAAATATAAAATGTAATAATAGTGTCCCATTTCCTAAAATGTAATATTATATTTTTCTAAATTCAATGTTGAGATCATGATTAATATTCTAAGCCCTAGATAATGAAAGATTATGCAATTATGCAAGATTTCGTATTTTTCTCCATGTTCGTACATTTCTTTTAATTATTAACAAAATAATGAAAATTTTAACCACCAGATTATTGAAATTAAAAACAAAAATAATACTATTACGCATTCAAATATAGAATCATTTAAATAGAATAATTATGATCAAGTAGCTTACTTTTATTTAATAAGGATGAAAATTGATATCACACACACATTCACAAGTAAATATGTTTAGCCTAGCCAAAAAAGTAAATGTGTTTGGTTGTTTCTTTATTTTTAACACTAGATTCCGTCACTTTTGAAATAGATCGATTCCTAATCTAAATTAGGAAATCTTTATATGTTTAGAAATTCTGAATTTTGTTTAATTATACTCTTAACATGTTTTTAATTAGATTGATTTTAATTTCAGACTAAATCAGATCAGATCAAACTTTAATAATAATTGGACACATAAAATGTAAAACATCTACCAGATCATATTACTTTGGACCAAATCAAACCTGAAAATTGTAATTCAATTCAAAACGCCCTTATTAATGATGTTTTCAATGTGATGAAATAATAAGTAAAATGTAAGATCTTACTATTAAAAGAATGTACTCCATATGTCATACCAAGTTGAGTGAGGAATATTAAAAAATATATTTTGAGGCACACAATAAAGTAATTTAGAGGACGTGAGAATAATTAAGAAGCTTCTCTATGAATTCCTTAAAACCGGGTCATAACAATTATGCTTAGTTGATAAGCTTATGTAGAAGACCATTTAAACTATTTTTCATATAATTTTTATTTATTTAACAAATGGAGTATATTTTAAATATTTTTTTCCATGATTCGAAAGATTCACCTATTCAACCTATTCAGCTAGAGATTAATTAATTTCATCAAAATAAATCGATTCCACCAAAATTAGTATTATCAAACGGACTATATATATATATTTATACTGAGTTTATTTTGCTTTTGCGTCACATTATATATGATTCTAAAAACAAATCAAATTTAAAATTAGATAAATTACATACCATCTGTGCATCGCACAGGCTTGAAACCTAGTACTTAGAAGAGTTAATTATCAAAATAGGACTAAAAGTCATTCACTTTTCACAAATAGAACCAAAAAATAAACTATGTTTGCATAGGACTAATTATGTGTACTTTGGACAATTATACCCTTATAGCTATTAAAATGTTTTAATTCCTAATAAAATAATAAAAAAAAATAAAAAATCGTAAAAAATACTAAAACATTAAGAAAAACATTTCGATATTAAAAAATTAATTAATTTTTTTTCAAAAAATTAAAAAAATTAAAAAACAAATTAAAAAAAAACTCAAAAAAAAAAATCGTCGCCGCCTCTGCCGCCTCAGCACCACCACCTCCAGTCACCAGGGGAAAAAAATGCCAAGTTCATTACGAATGCCATATTTATGGCAGAAAAAAATGAAAATGTTGGCATTCGAAAAGAGAATTATACCACTTTTCGGCATTTTCAGAAAAAAAATGGCATTTTTCCTGGGAAAATGGCATTTTTTTCATCGGCCGGAGGTGGTGGTGCTGTGAGGTAGTACAGGCGGTGGGAAAGGCATCCATATTTCTTTTAAAAAATTTTTACGGAGTTTTACTATTTTTTATTAATTTTTTAAAAAATAAAATTATTTTAAAAAAAAGTTTTTGAATTATTTATTTTATAAAAATTTTATAAATTTTTTAATTATATTTCTACGAATTTTTGAATTTTTTTCGAATTTATTATGAATTAAACATTTAATTATGGCTTTTGACTATTTTTAATTCATATTTAATGGAAGGGTAAGAATGGAATGCAAAAATAGGTATGTTTCCAATAGGACTCATATGGTCCTATTTTGGAATAAAAACATAGCAAGTCCTATTTTAGGTTTTTGTCATAGTTTTAGTCCTATTTGAACTAATTTCTATGCTTAGAATATATATGGACAAGTCGGTAAGTACTCATACACCGATTTCTAACAATATCTAACTTGTCTACTCTTTAATTACTCCGTATTAAATAGGATAGTACTCCCTCCGTATCTATTTACTTGTCTTCCTTTCTCTTTCGGAACGTATACAAAAAAATGTCTCATTTCTCTTTTTAGACATGGACTTCACCATCTTTTAACCTCCCATCATTAAATATTTACATTTTCCATTTTTGTTTTCACTTACCCCATTATTCCTCCCCATTAAATCCCCGTCTCATCCTTATATTTTAATCATCTACAGTGTTTTTTACTTTATCTACAGTACAACTATATTTCTTCTTAAACTACTCAAAAACACTAATGGGTCATCTAAACAGATACCAGGGAGTATTTTAATGGTGAGGACAGCACTTTATTTAATACGTAGTACTAGTATATACGGAGTATTCTTTTTGTTTGAACACAGACCTATTTTTGCAATCGTTTGGCGTACTCAGGGGCAGATCTGGTATAGGGTCAGGGAGGGCCTAGGCCCCACCTCAAAAAAAAAAGAAATTACTAGTATATATATATATATATATATATATATATATATATATATATATATATATATATATATATATTATATGTACTGGGAAGAAATGGTATAATTAGAACAAACGTCTTATTGTAAACAAAAGTTACGTTGGTGTGATGGTAGAGGCGTGATTGTCAATGTAGAGGTTATGTGTTTGATTCCTAGCTGGAGCAGCCTTTTTTTATCTTACACGAATCAAGTCTGAATTTTAACTTTTGAATACTTGGATGCAAAAATTAAGTAGTCCAACTAATTGGGCTTTATTAGTCTGAAAAACCAATTAGTTCAATTGATTGAGCTTTTTGAATATTGTCCTAAAAATTAATTAGTTTAATTCATTGGGCTTTTGAATATTGACCGAAAAATTAATTAGTTGAATACATTGGATTTCGTAGGTGAAAATAAGTTTTCTTTACATAGAGTATAGATTTTAGAGTAAAAAAATCGGTTTATCTTGTTTTCGAGAAACTAACCTAAAAATTGGCACTAAACATTTGGGTAACCGATAAAACTTCGGTTCGGTATCTATGACTTTTAAGATAATTGTATTGTCGGTTCTGTAATATTCAATTTATTCTTTGACATTTCTATAATTTACATTTTGACTTCTAAGATATTATTATACTGTACTACATTTTGACATTTTTTTATAATATACGTTATTTAATTAAATTTTGGTCCCACCTGAACGTAAATGCTAGATTCGCCCTGGCCGTACCCACTATAAAATTCTTCTGTATATTCAGGTAATTAGATTTGAATTTGAGGTTCGTATAATCGTATTAGACATTTTCAGTTACACTCTCAACCACATTTTACTTTATTCTGAATTTTATTTTGTTATTCGTTCGTCTTCCGAATGTAATTTCTTTCTCTAGTTACGTAGAGATCAAATTTTTTTAGTTAGGTAAAGATCAATTTTTTTATTCATATTAATTAATCTCGATATTATGCATTGTTTTCATTTTTAAAAACGAGATAATATCATGATAAAAGAAGCACCCTCTACGTACTGTTCCATAATTTTCTTCCCATTTTCCGATTTACAACATCTTAAAATTTCCTTGTCATTTCCTTAAGGAATCATTTGTACGTGTAATTAACACTCTTTCTCTTATTTCTAGTCCACTATCATACAAAAAATTGGAAACTTTAAGCTAATTGTTACTCAAATTTAATTATATTTAATTATATTAGGTATATATATAGTAAGGATGTTTTTACTTGGACTGTAATTCGTCCCAGACTAGACCAGATCAGACCAGACCAGATCAGACCAGACCAGACCAGTTCAGACCAGACCAGACCAGACCAGACCAGACCAGATCAGACCAGACCAGACCAGACAAGACCAACAAATTACAGTCCAAGTAAAAACATCTAAGGTGTGCTAATTGGGAAAAATAAAAAGTTCACACTATTATTTATCAATGGTGATAACTCTGATACCCATTTAAAAAAAGGGGTACCGCACCTACCACTCACTTGATTGGTTCAAATCATTACATCATTTTTAATTTAGATTTAAATAATTCAACTACATCATTCTTATTGGTCTATGTGAACAAAGGTATGGTACCTTAAGGGTACCGATCTACCTTTATCAATATATTAATATTAATAATTTGGTTTTTGAATATATTACTCCCTCCGTCCCTTAAAATTTTGTCATCTTTCCTTTTTGGAACGTTCCAAAAAAATTAGCTACTTTCCCTTTTGAACAATTATTTTGTGGTTTCTGTTATTTCTCTTTTCTCTGCACAAACCCCAACCACACAATTTTTACTTTATTATTCTCTGTGTCGATGAACTTTGGTAAAGTTTTAAGGGACTGAGGTAGTAATAAATTAATAATATGCGACCCATCAATGTGACTGCTGACCCACCCAAGAGCTGTTTCAAACATTATGTAGCTTTAAAACCTTCATTTATAAGATTCCATCGGCATATAATATTTCTCTATTTTTGCAAGCATTGGCCTTTCGCGGACGAGAAACGTTTTTAAGATACGCCCTTAAGAAACGGACACGTGGCAGCGAAATGGGAGTGCAAATTCGGTGGGTCCCACGTACACATGGCGTTCTTGGATACATGCCCTCGCATAGCATGGTGTCAAGAAGTGGCAGAACACGTGTCATTGCATGGAAGGGCAAAGCTTCCTACTCCACCGGCCTCTGCATTATGTATATATGCCTACCCAAAAAGAAATTACAGAAAGTGCCCGCTTTTTATACAAATCACAAATCGCTCCTCTTTCTTGCTAAACCTCTCTGCCACAGCCAACTTGAAGTTGTGACAGTAATAATGGGATTTAGGAGGAGCGTTATATGCGTGGGATATAATGAGCGTGACGAAGGTAAAGGAAAAACGGTGGACTGTGAACTAGAGGCGGCTCAAGCTTTAGCGGGTTTAGCGCATCCATCCATGCTCCCCGGTCCTTCTACACGTCCCGGTGCATCCGGACATGCATCTCCGCCGCCACCGCTCCTAGATCTGTATCACTTCTCCGGCGGGGTACGATCTTCTATACAACTTTATCATCTTTCATTTTCTGAAAGTTTAAAAAACTTCAAACTTTAGGGTCTTTAGGGAAATTACTCTAAATTGACTAAAACCCGTCTTACTACCTACGATAGTATATTCCAAAATAGGGTATCATGTTTCGGCAGTATCAGAATTTAAACATGATAGTATTTTTCAAACTTGACAATACTTACTCTTATTTTGGAAATAAAAACATGATAGTCCTATTTTGAAATTTTCAAACTATTTTACTCATATTTCGATAATTTTCCCAAAACTTTACCACTTTCTCTTCCTTTTAGTCCTTGAAATTATGGTTCATATTATTTCTCTCTTTGCGGCACCAATATCAATCACGTAATTTTTACTTTATTATTCTTTCTATCTCAAAAAGATTGATGAAATTGAGTTTTCTTGATCAGTGACGATGAAGTTTGACCAATGATATTTTTAAATACAAAATTATTTAAAATATGAAAATTATACGAGTATATTCTTTATTAAAAAATCTTTCATAAAATTTTAAAATTTATAAATTACCACAAAATTTATAAATTATACCGTAGTAAGAGTATATTGAAAATTTATAAAATTTTTGTTGAAGTTTTGATGGAAGCTAAAGAGGAATATATAGTTTGTTAAATAACAAGTGGTTACCTTATGTTTATCATAGGCGCAGGACGGTGAAGACAGCGTGGATGGCCCGCAAAACGAAGGATTAGCATTATTATCTTCAAATGTTTTGGGAGGGTCTGAGATTGTGAACTCAACGACGTTATTTTCATCGTGCAATTATGATTATTCCTCTTTCAGTGGGTGTAAATCCAGACGAAGTGTGGCAGAGGCAAGTAATTAAACAAACTCAAATTGATCACGATTCGATTTAATAATGGGAATCATGAGTAAACACGAATTAGGAAACCTCATTTTTTAAATCAAAAAAAGTACGGAATAACATGTTTTCGAAATATATAGTCTGAATTAGAAAGATATAGAGAGGAGAAAATTTAAGGTGGGGTAGGTCGGTGAGTAAGATAGAGAAAAAGGTAGAGATAGATAGGAAGTAAAAAAGAAATGGAGGAAAAATGGATAGGAGCTGAACCCAGTCTGAATTTGCTTATAAAAAGTTATCATTACTAGCAAGGGCGGAGTCTAGGGGGTCAGGGTGGTCAGCTCACCTCACTGAAAGTTTGAGAGCATAGAGTTCTGAAATATCTTCGATTTGATATATTATGATCCTCGTAACTCATTACGAGTAAACAGTTATAATTCTGGAAAATCAACACTATCTAAACGTAGAGTCAACAAAATTTGATGCGTACTATAGATTATTTTCCCTGATTTTAAAAATAGGGTATAATCCACGCATTACTTACATGACATGACTCAGAAATAGAGAAAAAACAATCTATATTGTTGTTACGAGTGTCTGTTTATCTAAACTACATATGAAATATTCAACTCGAATATTGTTTAAAAATGATTCACCATTTTCAATTTTTAATTCTATATATATTGAGTTTTGACCCTCTTGAATCGTTTTTCAGGCTCCGCCGCCGATTACTTGTATTTTTCTATTGAGAATAGGAAAGTCATATTTTAAAATGAATCTCTCAAGTCTAAAGAGTTCTCACTTCATTTTTGTGTGCATTGTGCAGGAAGAAAAGGAGGCTCAAAGGCTGCGTCGGGTTGTTGCAAACAGAGAATCAGCTCGGCAAACAATCCGCCGTAGGCAGGTAATTAAGAGTTATGACATAAAAAGGGTGGTCACATAAGATGAAAATGAGGCTGAATCAATGACTTAAAAATGGCACCGCATATTCATGTCTCAATATTAGGAATTTATCGGTGGGTGTACCTCAACCGGTAGCGGGGGTGTGCCACAAGGGTTGGGTCCTGAGTTCGAATCCCGACAACTGCGATGAGAGGTTACTATGCTAAAAAATGCATAGGTTCTCTGCAAATACTGGGGATAGAGCCTCACTCTCTATCCGTCAGATTCTAATTATAGTTTAATTTACATCCTCCAAACGTACCGTCCGGTCGGGGTTGGGGGCCCTCAGGAATGAGGTATCATCCTTTTTTTCAATATTAGCAATATATCTATCGTAGGTGAGTAGGTGAGGTGAAATAAGGGCAAAATATTAGGGTGTGAAAGAAGTGCTACTGCACGAGGCTTCTCGATTCAGGTGGCCCAAAATTTTAAATATAGTCTACGTAATATACAAAACCCTTTTTTATTTGATTAAAGATTCCTATTTTGTTTTTTTAATACAAACATTAAATAATGGTCTTGTATTTCCTATTTGGGGTGTCCCAAAATGATAGTCACATTTCCCATTTTGGTAAAGAAATTAAAGTAGACTATCATTTACATCCCTCCTTTTTAATGAGCCTTAAAATTAAAGGAATGAACAGTACAATAAAGAAAGATTATATGGGTCATTCTACCATTTTTTTCTTAATATTTGAGCCCAAAAAGTATAAGACCATCAATTTGAGACGGATGGAGTAATATTTATAGTAATTAGCACAAAACCTCCGGTATAGTTTGGTTTGGGACGAGTTTGCAATCCTTGCATACGACATTTTCTTTACTACTTTATCATTACTTCAATCTTCTTATTATATTTTATTTCTTACTTTTTCATTTATGGTACACCTCTATACTACCTCTACTATTTTTCTTAAAAATCACAAAGAAATTAAGGAGACTATTATTTAAGAATGAATGGAATTTTAATATTGTGTTTTTTATTTCAGGGCTTCAAATTCAATTTTGAACTGGACCTTTTATATGTGAGGGCCAGTCCGGGGTGAAATGAAAATAGTGCATGTGTGGTTAATGGAATTGAATCTCTTTGTTTTGTTTTGGTGGTGCAGGCTATGTATCACGAGTTGACCAGAAACGCAGCTCACTTGGCGTTGGAGAATCAGAATTTGAAGAAGGTTTGTACTTTTACGCATCTCTTATCTGTGCCAACAGTCCCAATAGGCACATTTTAGTATGAGAGATGCTCTAAATTAGCTCACACTATTTTAAGGGTGGATATAAGGGTGGATACAAGGACGGGTACAAATAGAACTTTCCTAAACAAACTGCATCAACTAAATCGGACCAGACAGACCTCGAGTATTTGACTTAAATAGACATGAAATTATCGTAATTGCATACATTTTTTGCAACACGTTTTAAAGCACGGATTGACATTTTTTAAAAGGTTGGTATGGCTTGTGAATAATGTTTTCCTATTTCTTTCTATCCGGCCTCTCTATTTATTGGTTTGTTATCATATTATAACTACTCTTTCCCTTGCTCATACTGCCAAATGTCCTTTTTCATAATTTCCTATAGAAGATTTAACTCTGAAATCTAGACTACGCTTAAAATAGAATAAGAAAATTATTACTCCGTATTAACTAAAACAAGTAGCTATTAGTCACATTTAATCCACATCCACTCAAAAAAAAAACCTCTCTATCTGGCAATTAAGTTTTCACATTCTTTTTTGGATGATCCAAATTCGAGTGGTAAAATGCTATTAATTATTAATTGTCAATATCATACTTTTGACTTTTGAGGAAGGGCATAATAGAAAAAAATTATTATTGATCTTCAATATCATACTTTTGAGGAAAGGCATAATAGAAAAATATATTTTGTTCAAAAATATGTTTAGTCAAATTACAAATTTAATTGAGTATATAACTTCTTTGTTTTTTAAAAATGTGGGCCGCCAAAAAAAGTTTGACATGTAAAATACTCTGTAGTTTATTTCTTGTGTCCTTGGTTTTTGTTTTTTCTCTCTTCCTTTAAATTCTTTCTTTTGTTTTATTTTCAATTTTGTACACTACTAAGTACTCTACAATTTTTAATCATTAAATATTGTCAAAACCCTATAGGAACAAGCTTTCAAATAAGGAGGGGTACCATAAAACTATCACTTTAACCTTTATCTTGAGAGAGGTGAAATACATCTTTCAATTTGTTTTTATTTAAATCCAAGTATTTAGTTATAATGTTTAAATTTTTCTGCTCTGATGAGTAGGAAAAGGAGTTAGCAGCAAAAGAGTATGATGGTTTGAAAAGCACAAATGAGAGCCTGAGAGCACAGGTAAAACAGCCAGTTACAAGTTGGACTTCAATTGTTTTAAATGTGGCCTTGCTACAGAAAACTAGTACTCAATTTGGCTCGGGCTTTTTAGGGAGAACTAGGTGTACTTTAGTAACTTGTCTCAAATTCTCAATTTGTTAGTTTTTTTTGTCTTCACTTAGGGGTGGACCGGGCCCGGTTCAGGTCGGGCCCCGGGCAGGGATTGGGCAGGACTAAAAATTTGGGTTGCAAGCCCGGTACCGGCTTGTGTTTGTACCAGACAGGACCGGGCCAAGTCACGTCGAGTCCAAAATATGTTTTTTTAAATTTGTCTTTTCGAATTTATTCCTAGCCCCCCACCTCCCAGACCCCACCAAACCACCCAGCCCTACCCACCTAACGGCCAATCAATGGGAAAAAATTAAAAAAAAATAAAAATAAATTGGGCCCTAACCGGCCAGGCCGGTCCACCACTTCATCAGCCATAGCTCACTACAATCTCCCCCGGTTCGGCCCCCGGTCCCGGTACCGGTTGATTGGGTCGGGTCGGGCATGCACAATACCGGGTCAGGTCCCGGGTCAAACCGACTTGTCCCAATCCATCCCCATCTTCACTTTGTTTTCTATACTTCAAATTATAAGAAAAAAAAAACTAAAACTCACCTTCCCTCTCAATTTCAAATCCCTGAAGCAAACAAGCCTAAAGGAATTCAGGTACCCTGTTAGGCTGTTACGATGGAGTTTGCTTGAAGGGTAACCCTCTTAGAAATAGACAGGTTGTAATATTGAATGCACAAGTATATTCATTATGCTGTTTATGAACACATCACATATATCGTACATGAGTCCATGCAATAGGATAAAAATAATAGAATATCATTTGGAGAAGGGATTTACAATGATAAAGAAAGAGATATCACAAAATATAAAAACAATTCTAATACAATAATAATCCAAATATAATATTACTTCGGAATTCAGATATGGCCTACTGAAATCTAATCAAATTGTTTCCCATTCTATTTTGTTAATGCATTTTACTGCTTAATGGTAATGTCAGATGACTAAAGCAGTCAAGAAAGAGCTACAGGGAACACATGAAGTTTCTTATCCAGTACAAGTGATGTCTTCTTCAACATCAACAGCTCACCCCTTCTTTTATAACCACACTCCAGTTGTGCAACATGGATCACAAAATTATTCTACCATCAGCAGTGTTGGAGAGCCTACTACTCCACTTCTTGTGCTGCCATTCCCTTGGTTCATCCCCTTTCACTCCCCAGGACAATATTTTCCCCAATCCTACTCTGACCACAATGAATCTTCATCTCCACAACCTGTGAAAGATAAGGCAGGAGATTCTATTTCTTCAAGGAAGCATGTTCACACTGAAATGACACTCCATTTCCAGTCAGGTCTAGAAACCCATCATCCTGAGCATGCAGACCTCATGGCTTCATCAATGACCTCTACTGGACAGGTAAAAACACAAGACTCGTCTTTGAAGGACCAACATGTTGTCACGTTCCCTGTCAAAAACTCTGAAGAGGCAATGGCAGCTACAGAAGCAAGGAGATGGAGGAAGAACAAAATGAAACTAAAAACCCTACACTGCCGTCCTCACGCTGGTTCATCTCATCAATAGAAATTTATCATTATACAATATTCCATCTCACTATGTAATTCTTTTATACCCGGGAAAGCTGGAAATTTTGGAATCTCAAAAAAATTATATGTAGATATATATTTTTAGTTCCATCTTCTAGGGGAAAAAATTATTTTATTAATGATATGATGCATATGTACATTGTTTACTTAATGAATAAGATATGATTACATGGTATTTATGAGCATGTGATCAGTAGTAAGTGGGAGTGTCGATCCACTGGCAGCGAACAATTCCGGCTGATCCTCCATAGCATAGCCACTTCTCACTGCCTTTGTTCATATTCCATCGCACCCTGTGGATTGCTACACTCTTGGGAGGCAGTTCATATCCATCTACTTGGCTACTGGAGGGTGGTGGTTGAGCAGCTTTTGTTTCATTACTGTTGTCTGCTTTTAATTTAGGCGCCTGTTTGTTCTTGTGATCCAGTACTTGATCATCAGATCCATCCTCAGAATACAGAACTGGCAGGCAGGCAGAGATTACATTACTCTTCAAATGTGAAATCTACAGTTAATTTTTTTTAAATGCAAGCGTAGATGAAATGTTACCTAGTTGTTTATCTGATGAAGGGGGGCTTCTCAATTGATCCCCCTTTGTTGTTTTCTCTTGATTGGGTTGTCCTGATGCAGAAATGCGTGTGGTTCGCAACAAATCTGTCCACTTGTTTGTCTTCATCATTCGGAATGGGGTATTAGGCGTTGGTGAGATTACTGTGATGGCAGATTCTTCCTCCGCAAATGATCCACAAAGAAAATGTGGAGTTCGATATCTGACAGCGTCGCTCTCGGCTTGTTTGGTTAACTGCTTATAATAATAAACAAAATAAATTACATATCTCCTATCCATTCAGCATGCAGTTAGCAACATGAATGAGTGCAATAAGTATAATAAGCACTGCACTTGAGCATTAAAAAGTACCATGATTAATGATGTACCTGGAAATAGGTAGCAGTACCATCAGCACCGCAATATGCCACCACCCCTAAATTAAAGAACGAACATATAAATTATACTACCTCCGTCCCGGTGGACTTTGCCAAGTGCAAAGTAGGTGAGAAATAATAGAAAAAACTGTGTGATTGAGATTTGTGCAGAAGAGAGAGAAATGTGAATTATACTACCTCCATCTTGGTGGACTTTGCCAAGTGCAAAGTAGGTGAGAAATAATAGAAAAAACTGTGTGATTGAGATTTGTGCAGAAAAGAGAGAAATGTGAAGAACCACAAATTAGTTGCTTTAATAGGAAAGTGGCAAAGTTTTTTGGGACAACCAAAAAAAGAAACTGTTAGTATTACTCTTATAACTTGGAACTACGTAGTACAAAAATAGAGAGGTTGGTAACTGTTGACTTGCTTTCATCTTAGAGGTCAATCTAATATAAATAGTAGTAGTGCAGAACTTTATATATGAGTTTGTTGTAGCTATTTGCCTATCATGAATTGACTATATGTAACCCATAATGGCGGCTAGGCATGGCAATCATGAACTATGTGAGCTCATTATTGAAGCTTATCAGGCTTCTCATTCACAGGGAAGTAGCCAGACTTATATGCATGTTTCTATCAATTATACTTGATTGGTGTGATTCCATCCTAAAAGTTAATCCAATAACAGTATCCAAGAACTTGTAAATGAGTTGGCGCAAGATAGTGGCTCTCTGAAGCATCGTAAATTTTGAGAGCTCATAGATGGTGAAGTTTTAGATTGCACTTTGGGATCATCTTACCACAACTAAGCAATTTTGCCATCATATGATTATATTTCTAATTCATCTTTTCGATCTTTTTTATCTTGCTTATGTTGTTTATCCTTTTTGTCTTGTTTATTTTTATTTTATCTTTTTTACTTTTTTATCTTTTTATCTTTTTTAGCTCCAATTTCATAAGTCGATTCATGCAAGTCAACACCAAGTTCATTTGGGATTAGGGTTGGGATGTTCTTGTTGTAGTATTGAGACGTTCCGGGATGATATTGCTCATTGATAGGGGAGTAGTCCGCAGATTTACATGTATAATGTTTGTGTCATACTGTCATTATATTATATTTGATTGGTGTGTGTCGAGCAGCTGAGTTTTGCCAGATTAAGTGAATGTACCAGCTCAAAAGAGTTGCTATTGAAGTTAATAGCAACTCATATATTCCGTGAAATCATGTTAATAGTTAATGATAACTCCTTGAAGCTATTAATTGATAGGCATAGATCAAACTGAATGAATGTTACGCAAGAGAGATAGGACAACTGGGACACAGGATTCGAATCCAATAAAAGATTATAAAACCATGATTCATTTTTCAGCAAGAGAGAAGCAACCTGTTCGCCATGAAGTTTGCAGGCTCCATATTGCATAGGAAGACCGCATATAGGTGTGAAATCCGTGTTGTTTAGATATGGTGAGTGGTTTTCCGGACACATGGAAGTCATTGGCAGCCTTTACCACACTCTGAATCCTTAGGGTTCCATCATCGCAAGCTACAAGAATACACCTTCACCATTGACAGTCAAATTTGAATGAGAGACTAAATTTGGAATGTACTATTGATTTCAACCACATAGAATAAGAGAATATCACAGTCTCACAGACCTTGGATATGGGCCATATGGCAACCAATCCAAGCTATACACACCCACTCCTTGACCAGGATTGTATTCCCGCAAATGCTGGAATGGATCACTACAGAACAAGCATTAAATCATCAAAAGAATGTACTGTGAAACTACATGTTTTGACTTTTTAAAAGAACAAGATAATGCAGTTGTGGCAGAAAAAAGTTCAAGAAGAATTTAGTTGAAAGGAGCCATTACCGACTTGAAGCAAAATTTTACCGACTTACCGTAAGTCCCAATACTTCAAGCCCTTGTGACTACCGGTGATGATGATATTTTCACTCTCGGAACTACTGCAAATTTATCATTATGCCATTTAGTTTCATAGACATGGGAAAAAAATCAAAATAATGAGAAGTGATGAGAGGCTTCCTCAATTCATGATAAAGACGGTTGAGAGAAAGAGTATTAGTAAACCTTCTCAACTAGTCTTTGTAAAATATCAAGCACCTAGTATACTAATTACTAACCTTTCAAAAGGTGCCCAAGCAAGTGACCTGATGGGAACTGTATCTGCACTGAAGCAAAGCAAAGGCCTTGTGTCTCCATATAAGAATGGATACGGTAGCCACAATTCATTATTTTCATGAAACTCTCACAGGATTTGATGTTAAAAAAACCTTATCTTCCCAAGAAGGAGAAGACTTGACATGAAGTTAAGTAAAGACGAAAAATGAAATAAAAATACCTTTAGAAGAGTTTGTGGTAGAAAACTTCCACAAGGCAACCTGAAGAAAAGTTATTATTTCATCAATTGATTTTTCGCAAACAAAGGTTACTTATAAATGCCAGACTAGATGACAACTTTGTAGATGAAAGTGGAAAAAGATAAACTTTTCATTTTTAAAAAAATGCAAAATACTCAAAAACAAATACAGAGAGAACTGATCAGGGGAACGCAATATTGAAGGCAGTGTTGACCACCAATGTTTTCTTATTTTAATGAGGAAGAAACTTGTCAATGAAAAGAGACAGAATGAGAGATCCAAAGCTAATACCACTCCATCATGACATCCAGCTAGAATCATATCATGTGAGGATGACATGGACCACTCCACTGTTAAAGGAATGCTGTGGAATGCGAAAATAACAGCAGAAAACCTATAAATTAGTAACAATATGAATAAACATATGGAACCTGTATTAGTGTGTAGATGTCAAGTATCTTTAGCTGATATCAGAGTAAGAAGTATCATCAAAAACTAAGAATGATGTACCTTTGCCTGTCACCACATTTTAACTTTGAACATCTAAACACAGGTTCCAACTTTACAAATCGAGGATCAGTACCCTCCATGTCTGGTGAATAAAGCCGTTTTATTATACGAGGAAAAGGGACTTCCCACCTATAACACAGTTTGCTTATAAGAAATTATATCAAGAAACACAAGTACTACAATAACGGTTGAAAATCTTGTCTTGCACAGGCTAAATATGAACCAAACCATCACATAACATTTTGGGCTACTCATATTTTTAGGTTAGTCACTAAGCCTTAATGCGGTAATTTGAGATGAGCTATAAAATCAGTGGTGGTCCAAGTAAGGTGTCATACAGTGAGAGTAAGTGATTTCATGAAAGAAATGGCACGGTTCAGATAAGAAGTTAGACTTCGAAGGGCCAGTGCACCTATGAGACGGAAAAATTAAAAATTTCACGATCCAGAAGTGCTTGTTCCTGAGGTCGTCATTAAAGAACTTATGTCACATCGAGTAAACCTTAAATAACAAACTAGTATATAAAAAATCTTTTTATGTTATTGCTATCTTATATTTATCTTTATCTCATCCATTTTATCTTGCTTTTTCCCCTTATCTTTCTTCACTTTTCAGCAATGATATCATGGACCGTTTCATGTTAGGCGACCCCAAAATCTTTTGGGATCAAGGCTTGGATGTTGTTGTACTCTTCCAATCATGTTGCCATGTTGGCTTTTTTTAAGATGGGAGTCAAATTCAATAATACTCTAGCAAAAAAACACAATCCAAGACAACATACTCACACTTCTAAAGCTCCACTTCCAAGCAAAACAGCAAGATACCCCATTCTCTGCCTGGATTCGGATGAAGAAAACCCATTTGGTCGCCACTTTATGTCCCATGCAACTTTCCCATTGTGAGCCAAACATAACACCATTCTGGGCAAAGCAACATCCTTTGGAATAATCTCCATGAGAGATGTATCATTACCACTTGATTCCATGGATACGAGAGCGCAACTTGTAGATGCTTGACAACTTGGAATGGAGGGGGATTTTCCATTTGTATGCCATGATAGCAAGGGCAAGGACGAATCACAGGTCTGGCAAACTGCACTGCATTCCAACCTTCTGTGTTTTGAAGCACTTGCACCTATCAATGGTAGTTGGTCAGTTATCTTCTGCTTCCTTCTAGAATCTTCATGGAACTTGTTGATGTTTCCACAAGCCACACTGATCCTGTTGTGAAGTGTGGATGTTTCTCTGGGGTATTCAACAGCCAGAGGTTGCACATTTTCATTGTCACCATGCTTATCATCTAGTGACACATTTGGTGGTATCTTCCTGGGTCTTCCTCTTGGCTTTATTGGATTATTAGGTGATTTGATCTGAACTATTTCACCTTTCACATTTGTTGGTTTGTAGTTCAATAAACACCATATCTGCACGGCACCCCTGCCAGTGAGTGGGGCACCAAGCTTGTGATATGAAGATTGAGGAGGATGGGCAGCAATGGCAACAAACTACAGAATTAATAGAAGAAGATACAATTATGAAAACGGCTTGTCAAGAAAAGAATAATAGAGCCCTCTTATCGTATTGTTATTTGTTTATGATTAGGGCGCAGAAAAAGAAACCATATACTTATCATCAAATTAAATTAAAATGGTCTACGTACCTCACTTTGGAAGAGACACTCGGAGTCCTTATCTGCTCTCGGGCACCAGTCTATACCCCAAACAGAACCTCCAACATAGAGTACAAAGTCATTGCTGTGACAAGAGAAATGAGGCATTAAGTGCTTGTTCAATCTTGTGAGGCAACAAGTGTAAATATTACCTCAGAGGATTGTTTTGCCTCACTTAAAAATCAAGAAAAATTCAAATCCCTATTATACCAGGGTTGAGTAGAATTTACTTTTTCCTCGATCCAGGCTCCCTGCATAATACAATTAAAAAACTAGATTCTTAAAGTATGATGCGGGAAGTAATCTGCTAAAAGCTGAGAAAGTAGAATAGCATGCCAGAAAAATAAGGATATCCAATATAGAATTATGAATCCAGTGAGAACGAGTGAACTGGGCCTCTAGGCTATATGACACTTGGAGCAAATCATACGAAAAACAGAATCCAATGAATTATTTCTGATGAGAGACTCTAACTCTACTGCTTAAATAGAAGTAACCAAACCATAGCAAAAGATTAATCCCATTGAAGTATTCGTCTTCTACCCTCAAAGTATATAAAATATTAAACTAATATATAAAACTAAATGTGTTAGTGGGACTGTGACAGGAATCCGTACAAAATAAGAAAGTCAAACCTTAGGAACAGTTGAGGCAGAAAACTGAGGCAAGACGGTTTCTTCAACTTTGCCATATTTCCCATTACCAGTCTCACTTTGACATGCAAACCTTATTCGTCTTGGTTTATAGCTTAAATGTCTCCACTCTCTGAATTCATTATTTACAACATCAAAGCACAATGTTGGGTGGCAAAGGAATGGCAAACTTAGTAAAAACTACACGCTTCCACTATAAGCTTCCACATACATGTAAAAACTACACGCTTCAGCAGTGGAGCGAGAGCAAAAATAGTACAAACAAAAAGGATGTTGCTTTGCCACTTACGTGAGGAACGTGATGGAAGAAACAAAACGTTGGAGGTCAGCTTGATCAGTAAAATCATCAATATCTGGCTCCCCACATAGCTTGGAAACAGTTTCAACAGCTCTGAAGTGATTTTCAACCGAATAATCGAATAACAGAACTTCAACTCCAGGAGTAGGTGAAGTCTTATCGGCTGCTGATTCTTTCTCGGTCAAAAGCTGCAACTTTTCCGTTTGATGCTTCCCTAAGCTGCACATCCTCCTCTTTTACTGCTTCAGTGCGACTTCGGGAACTTCCTCCAAGGGGCCCTTTCGTTCAGCTTATATTGTTTTGCAGTCCGACTATGACAGAGCGCCTGGAAGCGAGACCAGACTACTGGAGGGCAGAGGCTGGTAACCTGGTCGCTGGAGAGTGGAGACCTGGAGGGCCGCAGTGGGCTGTGGCGCTGTGCCGGCAAGGACGCGGGCAACGCAGATCGGACGGCGGCACTGGAGTTCTGGAAAAACCGAACACGGGAATCGAACCCTGGTGGACTGGTGGTACCGATTACCGACTATGGCCGAGCCCTAAAAATAGATACTTCGTACTCCGTATGTAATTTGAATATATTTGGAAAGTTAGATGCAGTAAAAGATTGGAACCGTGGTGTTAGTTTGAAATTCGCTAGTGCAGTGACCTTGTTCCATTGCACTAACGTTATCTTAATGGTCTAGTGCGGTTTCAAATACTTAAATGGGCTTTCAAATAATAATATTTTCTCTTAAATTGATTTGCAAATTTAATTTTTTTTATCAAACATTTTCATTTTATTTTACTTATTTAATTAGGATATCAATTCTTAATTAATTTTTAATGTCGATTCTGCAACTTTATCAAAATTTTAATGTAGTTTCTGAATATGTAATTTTATTTATTAAAATTAAATTATTTGTCAAAAGGAGGATAAGAGGATTTAACTTTAACACTGATTGACCAAAAAATGTTGATTTCGCAAAAAAAATTGGGGCGGGAGTAGTATTTACATTGCAATAACAAATTATATCTACAACCAGTTGTACGGTGATCACCATACAATCGGGTATTTTCTATTAAAAGATATAAGTACAAGTTTTAAAAAATGACTATTGCTATTAAATTATAGATTTAGCACAATAAATATTTGATGATAATACAATAATAATATAGTTAATGAATAAGTTTATTTGTAGTGTATATATGATGTGTGGATCATACTACTCGCTTACATACTTCTAATACTCATTTGTGCTAACAATACAATGATTTAATACTAATACTAATTTTTTTAAACGTTATGCTCATCTCTTTAAATATAAAATATTCAGTTGTACGGTAAGCACCATACAAACGGCTGAACAATGTACGCTCTCCATTGCAATATCAGTTGGTGATGGGATGATGCGTTGGGGCGATCTAGCTATGGCATCTGGGGGAAATTTAAGAAATAATTACATATCTATAAATAATTGCATATGGAAAGTTTTGCAACATGTCATAAATCTTCTAAGCAAACCTTCACTATAATATTCTAAATTCTCTTTCCAATTTAGTATATTAATTAATTGTACTTTCGATGCGTTAGTATTTGACTTACAACTGGTGTTACATTAACTCAGGAATAACCTATATGTTGGAATCACATACAACTATTTTAAAAACTTCCTAAAACTACACAATTCAAAAAAACAAACCCATGATATTTTAAACTAAAAAATAGATTTCAAAAAATATATTAGATTTCATAATTTTTTATTATTTTTAATATGACACCAATATTGAATATATAAAAATAAAAATAAAATTTAACATTTTAAAAATATATGTTTTTTTAAGTGTTGTATCTTTTTTATTTGTACTCTAATTGTTACAGAAATATATAAATATTCGTAACTTTTTATAATCTTTCATATGTCACCAATATTGTATATATAAAAATAATAAAAATTAATTCCATTAATCTTTGCAATTTAGGATTGTTTATTACAGTGCACACAATTAACCAGAAGTGATAACTTAGAATAAAACTTCACAAACCCCAACACTTTTATTTATTGTTTTATTCTTTGCACTAAATAGTGTGCATGATAAAAATGATCATAAACTGCGCATATTAATATATATTTTTTATATATGCAACATTGGTGTTATATGAAAAAATAATAAAAAGTTAGGAATTTTGATTTTTTTGTAACAATCGAAGTATAAATAAAAAAAATATAGAAGTTTAAAAAAATGTTAATTTTAAGTGTTAAATTATTTTTTATTTTTATATATTCTATATTGGTGTCATTAAAAGATACTCCCTCCGTTCCTAAATGTTCTTCCGTAGTACAAATGACACACGAATTAAGAAAGTGAGAATTGTGTGGTGGAAAGTTGTGCAAAGGAAAGAGAAATATGTAAGAATGTGTAAGAATTGTTGTGAACCACAAATTCTTTGCCAAAAAGGGAAAGTGAAGTTCTTTTTGAGACGGACGAAAAGGGAAAGTTGGAAGTTCTTTAGGGACGGAGGTAGTAATAAAAAATTGTGAATTTGATATATTTTTTGTGATAGCGGGAGTACAAATAAAAATGTTACAACACTTAAAAGATAGGTGTTTTAAAGTGTTAAATTATTTTTTGTTTTTTGTAGTTAACATTGGTCTCATATGGAAGATACTCCATAATAAAATGTTGTGAATTGTGATACATTTTTTTGAAACAATTGGAGTACAAATAAAAACGTTATAGCGCATTAAAATAAACATGAGATTTTATTTAGTGGGGCCATGATGAGTTATAATTTAACATGACAAAATTTCCATAATTTATCATTATGAGCCAATTTTGTAACACTGAAATTGGTTGAATCGGCCGATTTTAACAAAATTTATGAAATTCTGGCTGAGGTATGTGGATGGACTGATTCTGCTGACTTATGAATAATTATATATAAAATATTTTTTACTAATAAAATAAAGAAAAAAATTATATGAAAAATAGTTAATATGATGCTCTACAGTAACTTCAGTCAATATAGCCACAAAAGTAACATCAACCTTGCTTTTTCTTATTACTCCGTATTACACAATTCAACGCGCGAACTCAAAACCTACGTGTTTGGTGAAAAAGTTGGCTCATAAGCTGAAAAATAGTCACCAAACAGACTCTGTAATTTTAAAATTTTTAAATTAATATTTTGAGTAATTCTTTGTAATTACGGTGTGATATATTATAATACTGATGGAGTATATGGGCATGGACCCCAGGACCCACATACTCAGAAGAATGAGAGACACATTTGTCACCCAGTGGGGCCTCCGTCGGCCAGATAGCCCTCCATCGGCCAGAAAGATATCAACTCAGAACATGGTCCAGAAGCCAGAAGAACCGGGTGTCCCCGTCGGCCGGGGCTCCGTCGGTCATGGCTCCGTCAGCCACAAAGGGCTCCCAGAACCGGACTTCACACTTAATTATTTCTACATATTTTGTACTCAGCCCAATAGCGGCTCATTTGTAAATGGGCCTCCCAAGCCCAAGACTTGGGAGCCCAGCCCTAATTTCCTCTATAAATACTCCCCTTGAGGGTAGTTGCAGGGGGTTCACAAATCATTTATTGCAAAGAGTTATTGCACTTCTCTCTCTAACTCCCACTTCTCTCTAGGAGTTAATACTCCATCAAATACATATACGGTGTGATATATTATGAGTAATATTATGAGTAATAAAAAGCTATTATAAATTAACTATATGTAAATGTATTCTAAATGTAAAACAAGTATAGCAGTTCTTTAAATCTTTTTTAATTCTTTTTTCCCATAATTTTAAAAATACAATTAAGAATTATGGAATTTTTGTCGTATTCGATTAGAATTTAACAAAGTTCTATACATTATTTATTTATTTATTTATTTATTTATGCAAAACTTTCTCAATATTCAGATGGGCTCATATATTAGGGTTATGTTTGGCACTTTGAAATGTAGGTGGAAGCTAATGTCTGAATTAAGGGCTATTCTCTAATGTCGAAATGTAGGTGAAAAAACTCTTGATTGTAGTCTTTTAGCCGGTTAAATTGTTCTTCAAAGCAGGCATTTATTCTCTTCTTAATGCATCTCACAGCCCTCCTCGCCATGCTCATTGAAATAAGAATGTCCAGATTAGTATCAATGTGCTCCTTTAATGCCACATAACCAATACAAGAGTCATCTCTAACCTTGTCCTCGTACTTGTCTTCTATCCATTTTTTAATCACAACTCTCAACTTGAAGTTGGAATTATATCTGTGTTTGTTGACCATGCTTTTAAGTTGGAAGCATTTGAACATATCTTCCCAGCTTGCATAACAAAAAAAGGGGCAGTTTTTTTGAATGCATTGTGCCCGGACTCTTTGAGATTCATTCATCTTAAAGTAAATGTTTTTCTTGTGGTGCACAACATACCTAATTAGGTCAATCTTAAATTGATTGTTGTCCTCAAAAAGCATCCCTAACTCAATCAAATGGGCTTCTATCTATTGATTGTATGAAGGATTGTAATTCTTGTCGTTGGATTGAACTTCATATTCAAGAGTACCATTGGTATTTTATTTTTAAACCCGGAAGGCAAACCACCAAAATCAGTGGGGCAAATGTCGGGGAACATTTGCCAGTTTTTATTAAAAATAGGTGAAAGATATACAAATGGAGGGGGGACTAGGCCAAAACCCCTCCAGAAGAAGCATACTTCTTCGAAATACACAAAGCAAGACAAGAAGAAACAACAATTGGGGGGGCTAGACCTGACCCAATTGAAAAAAATAAAACACCAAAGAAAATAAAAAACAACAATCGGGGGGGCTAAGCCTGACCCAATTACAACAAAACAACACAAAAACCATCAAAAACCGCTAACGACTTACTCTAATCGACGGGAGCCCAAAAAGATCCATAAAGTATGCATTACGGGCCTGAATTGGTAAATCAGCAGCCCGCAAGAAATAAGTTGGCTGGTCCATCGCATTGGTAGCAATGAAGTGGGCTACCCAATTAGTCTCTCTCAAAATAGCGAAAAAGGAAACCCCTCTGCTATCAGACATATCCAACAACGATCTTATCTCTCCGCTCCACCTTCCATTTCCGTTGCGATGCAGAAGAACCAACGCTTCCTTGGAGTCAGTTTCTACTTGAAAAACCCCAAATCCAGCTTCAATCGCCCAGACCGTAGCATGAATCACCGAGAGCAGCTCTGCTTCAAAAGTTGAAGAGGCAGAAATCAGAAAGGAGGTCGCCATGACCATCTTACCTTCTCTGTTCCTCAAAATAGCACCATCAGCGACTCTCTGAGGTGAGTAACTAGCGTCTATATTAAGTTTATAGCCTCCTTTTGGTTTTCTCCAAGTTATAGCTTTAATCGAGGGCCGGGGTAGTCGAAACGATCTAGGTATTAGATGCTCTTCATATAAAATCTCGCTAATATTGATAATCTTCTTGGAAGAAAGATTAGAAACCCAGTTCTGAGTAAAAGATTTAACCTGGTGAATTAGAGAATCCGCATAAGAAGATATGCCATCAGAACCCCAAACCAGACTAGCATAAGATTTCCATATATGCCAACAAATAATCCCTGGTAAACAGTGTTTAAAGGTATCATCCAAC